GAGCGTACGGGCTCGGATACCCAATATTAAATTTGGCCTTGTGCCACATCTGACTGTGTGGGGCGGTTGGTAGATATCCTGCAGTTAGAGATTTATTGTGGAATTCACTTGACTCACTTCTAGCAGTTGACTACTACTTCTACGCGCCGCTGGCGAATCTTATAGGTGTTGTTCTTGTCCTAAGTATTATCGTTCCTTACCAACGTTCGTGCGATTATTCTATTCAATAACATTCCCCAGGTTGCAACACTTTTGTTATATAACTCTTTTGCAGCTGATTTCATTTTGCTTGTGAGGATGTTATTTTCTTTATTGTGTGGAAAAGGGTTTTTCAAAGCTTCTTCTTTTAGAAGATCTCTCAGGTTTGGGTTCACCTTAACTAATTTTTCCGTTCTCAGCTGTTGGATTGATTGGTATTTCAATTTCAGGTTTCTTTTGAATGAGGTCGTATTTAGGTTGTAAGTGGCAATTTGGGCCGATATTTAAGAATTTTATTTGCTCATCTGTGAGTTCGTGATCGGAATGGTTTCAAGAATTTCCATTTGCATTGTATTAATTGCAATGTATTTTAGCCATGCCGTGTTGTAAGCTGAGTTCTAATGTACAAGTAAGGTGACTGAGATGGCGTTCAATAGCTGCGTATTCTGTTTTGCTCATGATATTTTGGAAGATCTCCTTATATATATATATATATATATATATATAAGTTACAGTGTATGCATGTTTGTACGCGTGTGTGTCCAAGCAACAACTCTGCTCCCACTAGTCCGATTTCAATGAATCATAGCCCATTCTAAAACACTAGAAAAGTTAGGCACAGGGAACGATTTTCGTTGAGTTCGGATTCAGGGTTGCCAGATTATGTTGGATTTAAAATATACATTAATATATTATACTAGCCATTATCGCTGCTTTCATGGTTCATAGCTTACAGGTCTGTTGCATAACATTGAGCCCTGTATTTATAATACCTTAGGAATAAATATACTTATGTATGTGCAAGTATTTGTATGTGCATGTACACTTTTATCCTACCCATTCATATATATATATATATATATATATATATATATATATATGTCTCATTAAATAATATATACAAGTTTTATCTATTTATTTTAAGCAAATTCCTTTCATATCGTCTGATAAGCTTGATAACATTATCATTGAAAGACAAAAGGAAATCACCATATTGATACATCTTTAAATCCAATCTAAGCTTTCGGCTTCCATAAGCCATTATCAAAGTTTGTCGTTGCTTGGAAATCTTCCATGTAAACAAAAAGACTATCATTGTTGCTATGTCCGTGCATTGTTTAATTTATTGTAATGTCATTGTCATCTCTGATGATGGCTTATGTAACCCGAAAACTTAGATAGGATTAAAAAACATGTATCAATATGGTGATTTTCTTACCTCTTTCAATGATAATGTTATTAAGCTTAGAGACAATTTGAAAGGAACTTACTTAAATTAAATAGACAAAACTTGTCTATATTATTTAAGGAAACATGCATCAATGAAAAATTGCTGCCTAAATATACACAATATATATATATATATATATATACTTAAATGCCTATAATTGATAATATATATATATATATATATATATATATATACATATATATATATATTTTTAAATGCCTATAATTGATAATATATATATATATATATATATATATATATATATATATATATATATATATATATATAATAATCAAGAAGAAAACCTTAAAGATTCATTTCGGTTATAATTTATTTCGTGAATATATATATATTCATCTGTTCAGCCCGAAATCTCTTAGTCTAAAGAGATGAATATATACGTCGGCTGCTGCTACTAGTTTTATTGTTAGGGTCAATATTGCAAGTAATGAGAAAATTAAACCATTTAAAAAATTTAATACTCAAAATATTTATAGCGCCCAACAAAACCTCCAATCGCCCACCATTTTCTGTTCAATTGCTCATCGCCGACCCCAAAGTCGAAATTGCCCACCGGGAGTGCAATATCGCCCAGGTGGGGAAACCCTCTTTTAGGCGGACACTTTCCACCGATTACGGACTTTATGACAGGTCCTCGTAAAATATGTGTGTGATTTTTGCTGTCATCCGCTCAACAAATGAAAGATTTTAGAATAGGTTTTGTACTTAGCCAGATCGCTACACACGCTTGACAACTTATACAAATTCCTTACATCCAGACGGATAGACGAGATGTCAAAAAGGGAAAAACACAGAAGAAGAATAACAGAAGCATTGTGCACGCAACGTCTTTGTGAGAAAGAACTTCGAGGATAGAGACACTGTGTCCATGAAGAGGAAACGCCCAAGTAATTCGCCATATGCTTTCTTTTTTATGGGCGTTTTACATGGGGCGGGATAGCATCTGCAGAAATGATTAGTAGAAATCTACGCATGCGTTGTACCCTCCTTCCGGCTCGAGACCTAGTACTTGCTTTAACGTATTTATGATTCCTACCACTGTGATGTGATTCCTTAAATGGGATTTTTAACGTCTGACTCCCAATCTTTAAGTGGAAAGGCACACGGATTTTCTAGTTTCAACAGCATATTGCTGCAGGAATAAGAATATTTCTGATCCAGTCGAATTTTCAGCAATAGGGAAATACTGATTTGGAAGCAATAATCTACAGGATAATAATCTTTATATGATAATCATTGGTCACAGATCAACAGAGATTTGGCAAGTCAATACCGAGAGTCCAATAACTTATGTGTCCATTTCTGCGCTAATACACATGCTAGCATGCGTTTGCGTACATGTATGTGTTTGGGGTGGGGTGATGACCCATCTCGGAGACACAGATTTCTCTCTACGAATTTTGATTGATCAGGAATACAATTCCTTAATGGGCATTTAAATTCATAAATAATATTTGCCCTATTTAATTTTTTTCTAGGAGGAGAATTATTATTTTTAACTATAAGGTTATAGGTTTTAAATTTTTTGTAATAAATAATTAATCTAATATTTTGCTATTGTCAACTGGTTCTTAATTCTGCATTCATCCTGTTTATAATTTTCGTTCATTCGTAAATAATTATATAGGCCACACTACAATATGTTTGACACGCAGACTCACTCTACATCTTTCTGACCATAGCTCAATTAGATCTCATTTAAATATTCATGGAGACCTACCGGACACTATTCGTAACATACTTGTTGACAACACTAATATAATAGCAAAACAAAAAAGGCTAAAGATAATGGAAGCCTTATTAATAAAAAAAGAAAACAGTTAATAATATTAACATAATATCTTGACCGTGTTTTGAAAAATGAAAACATTTTATAATATATATATACAACAAACTATTTCTTGTTTAACGGTTAAAATAGTTAATCGGGGAAAATGGCTAAATGTATAGCCGAAAGGGTTCGGATAAAAAGACAGTTTTTATATAATTTATCATCTGAAAAGGAAAAAATATTAGATCGCCTGAGAAATTGTATAAAAACTAAATAAAAGCATCTTGTCTGTCGTTTTCAATGAAATGTGCATCTTATAACTTATAGACTTTAGAAGGAATCGGAAACCCAGTCCTAAAGACGAAACGAATGATAAAGCTCTGTTCAAAAGATGGGAGAGAATTGTGAACTGGACAATAGGCGAACCTAGATGGATAGATGAACAGGCCGAGATAGATAGATAGATAGATAGATAGATAGATAGATAGATGTGGACAAATGATATATATATATATATATATATATAGATAGATAGATAGATAGATAGATAGATAGATAGATATGAATTGACTGGGATAAATAGATGAACAAACCGAGACAGATAGATAGATATGAACAGACTGGGATAAATAGATGAACAGACCTAGATAGATAGATAGATAGATAGATAGATAGATAGATAGATAGATAGACATGAACAGACTGAGATAGATAGATAGATAGATAGACAGGTATGAACAGACCGATATATATATATATATATATATATATATATATATATATATATATATATATATAGATAGATAGATAGATAGATAGATAGATAGATAGTCGGTAACGGTAGTCGGTGAAGTGACAGACTTGAATGAATCCGGTCAGATTGAAGCAAATTAGTTTCGATAGAAAGATAGATGTATACGCTGTCATATTCCTTTCGAGAGTATCATGTATTTTGCATCAAGTCTTTGTCAAGGAAGTGAAACAGCGTTGTCGCAAATATTACATCTCTTCCTTCCAATATCGCTGCCGTTAATGAATCCTAATAAGCTGTGATTCTCTTTTATCCCAAACGACAAATCAACAGGTACTTCAACTTAATTATAAAGATTGAATGTAGAAATGTTATTTTTTAATTTTTTTCCTCACTGTGACCTTCTCAGCAATTAAAGAAAGAAATAAGAAAAGAACATATCCGCCATATTTTCGTCAACCAGGTTCGCAAATCGACAGGAAGCACGTCATGATGAATAATGAATAAGTGATGTAGAAAAAGGCGATGACGTCCTTGACTGTTTCGATTATCGGTCAAGTATCTTGTAAATGTTCGGTGTGCGAGAGCTGGGAGCAGAATTAAGTCGTTAAGCGAAATGGCGAATGTGTAAATGGATAAGTTGCGTTTTCCTAGACATAATTCAAAATCTCTTTCCCTCCCCCTCTCTTTCTCTCTCTACATCACTCTCTCTACCCCTCATTTTCTCTCCCCATCCCCTATCTCTCTCCCTTTCCCTATATATCGCTCTCTCTACCCTTGATTTTCTCTCCCCATCCCCTATCTCTCTCCCTCTCTCTCTACATCTCTCTCTAGCCTTCATTTTCTCTCCCCTCCCCTCTCTCTTTCCCTCTCTCTACATTTCTCTAACCTTCATTTTCTCTCCCTCTCCCCTTATCTTCCTCCCTCTCTCTATACAACTCTCTCTCTCCCTACCCTTCATTTTCTCTCCCACTCCTCCTATCACTATCTTTTTTCTCCCCCTCTCTCACTCTGGACCCTTTACGCGAATGATATCTTTCTTTTTAAATGTCCCCTTATTTTGTCTTTGCATGACTTATTTTTTTCTGATTACAATTCAAATTTATATTCTTTCTTTCGACCTTTCCTTCAGCCTTTCTTTCGACCTTTCCTTCAGCCTTTCTTTCGACCTTTCCTTCTGTCTTTCTTTCGACCTTTCCTTCAGCCTTTCTTTCGACCTTTCCTTCAGCCTTTCTTTCGACCTTTCCTTCTGTCTTTCTTTCGACCTTTCCTTCTGTCTTTCTTTCGACCTTTCCTTCTGTCTTTCTTTCGACCTTTCCTTCTGTCTTTCTTTCGACCTTTCCTTCTGTCTTTCTTTTCCTTCTTTCCTTCTGTCTTTCTTTCTTCCTGCCTTTTCTTCTGTCTTTCCTTCTGTCTTTTCCTTCTTCTTTCTTTCGACCTTTCCCTTCAACCTTTCTTTTCTTTCTCTTTTCTTCAACCTTTCTTTTCTACCTTTCCTTCTGTCTTTCTTTCTTTCGACCTTTTTCTTCAAAAAATTTCTTTCTTTCGACCTTTCCTTCTGTCTTTCTTTCGACCTTTCCTTCATTCTTTCTTTCTACCTTTTTCCTTCTGTCTTTCCTTTTCTTTCTGTCTTCATTCTTTAACATCAGCCTTTCCTTCTGTCTTTCCTTCTGTCTTTCTGTCTATTTCTTTTTCCTTCAGCCTTTCCTTCTGACCTTTCCTTCTGTCTTTCTTTCTATCTTTCCTTCAGCCTTTCTTTCAGACCTTTCCTTCTGTCTTTGTCTTTGTCTATCCTTTTCTTTCAGCCTTTCCTTCTGTCTTTCCTTCTGTCTTTCTGTCTTCATTCTTCCTTTCCTTCAGCCTTTCCTTTGTCTTTCCTTCTGTCTTTCCTTCTGTCTTTTCCTTTCTATCAAATTTCCTTCTGCCTTTCTTTCTTTTGAACAATTCCTTCTGTCTTTCTTTTATCAGCCTTTCCTTTCTGCCTTTCTTTCGACCTTTCCTTCTGTCTTTCATTCTTTCTGACTTTTCCTTCTGTCTTTCTTTCTTTCCGTTTCTTTCTGTCTTTCTTTCGACCTTTCCTTCAGCCTTTCTTTCGACCTTTCCTTCTGTCTTTCTTTCGACCTTTCCTTCAGCCTTTCTTTCGACCTTTCCTTCTGTCTTTCTTTTTCGACCTTTTTTATCAGTTTTTTTTCTGACCTTTCCTTCTGTCTTTTCTTTTCTTTTCTATCACCTTTCCTTCAGCCTTTCCTTCTGTCGACCTTTCCTTCTGTCTTTCTTTCGACCTTTCCTTCTGTCTTTCTTTTCGACCTTTCCTTCAGCCTTTCTTTTTCCTTCTGTCCTTCTGTCTTTCTTTTCGACCTTTCCTTCAGCCTTTTTTTGTCTTTCCTTTCCTTTCCTGTCTTTCTTTTCGACCTTTCCTTCTGTCTTTCCTTCTGTCTTTTTTCCTCTCTGTTTTATTCCTTCTTTTTCTCTCTTTTTCTCCTCATAATCTCCCTCTTTCCATCTACTTTTCTTTCTCTTTTTCTATATCTCTCTTCTCTTCATTTTCTCCCCTTCCCCTAA